ATGTGAAATTTTATCAAATTTCTGGGCATAGTGTTATTTTTAGCATTCCTTTATTCTGTCAGTGTCTCTAACGTCAGAAATGACTAGTCCATCTGAAATTGGAATTGTTTCCTTTTTTTTCCTAACTAACCTAGCTAGAGGCTTATAAGTTGTATTATCTATTCAAAGTACCAACTTTAATTTTTAGAAAGGCCTACACTACTGGGAGGATATATAACAAATGTTGGAAACCTTATCTCTCCATAGTGTGACTTATAGATAATTTTTTTTCTTTGTGCTTTTCTATAGTTGTTCAATTTTTTTATAAAGTGTATTTTGGATATATTCTTTCCTCTCTCCCAGCTTCTCCCAGTTCCCCCCTCAACTTCAAATCTTTCTCTGGAAAAACAAAACAAATATAAAACCAGAGCAACAACAAAAAGGCACACAGACACACACACAAAACCCATGTGGTCTATTTTCTATGTACTTATTGAAATGTTTCATAATAAAAATTGGTGTAAGCATATGAAATAGTATTTGCTTACACATGTGTGTTATAGGATTCAGACCCATCTTTTGTGCATGCTGGACAAGCACTCTACCACTGAATTGCAGCTGTAGTCATAATGTTATTTTGTAACTGCTTTGTTCAGCATCTTTCCCAGAAATGAGTAAACTTAAAACTCTTCACTGGAGTTTGTCTTTAGGAATTATAAATTTATATTCTGTCAATAAAGTATACTAAAAAAAGAATAAAGTATTCAAAATAAATGAAAGTTGCATCTTTTGAACTTATATTTATTACATGTTTTTAAATTTTTCTACAGCCTTTAAGATGCAAACATGCTCTCTTAAGTTTCAGAGAAGAGACTGAAGCCTGGAAGAGCATACTTGGTTGAGGCCACAGCTACTATGGAGGCTGTGCCTATTCAGTGCTGTTTCTCAAATTTGAAAGTCTGATAACTTCAGAGTTAGAACAGATGAAATGACTACAATCAGACTTTAACCACTAGAGTGCAAACCACAAAGGAAAAGTTGACCTATATCAGTTTTTACTACTAGTTTTTTTGTTGCCTTTTATGAATAAGCCTGTTTATCTTTTGGTATTTTTGAAGGGGTCTTACTGTAGCCCTGGCTAGCTTGGAATTCACTATGTGAAAAAGGCCAGCCTTGAGCTTCTGTCAGTCTGCCTGCCTCAGTGTCCCAAGTACTAGGATTTTAAGTATATACCAAAATACCTATTTCTATAAAGTCCCATTGTTTAGATTTTTTCAGCCTGTTTTCACTTATTAAAGTTTTGAAAGGAAATAACAATTTCAGGATGAATATTTGTTATTTTTCACGTGAATTAGTTTGCATATTTATTTCTAATGACATGAAAGAGGAGAAATTTGTTCTGTAGTTGATTTTTCAAAATCTACTTTTCCAAAGATTTCTGGAAAAAAAAAAAAAGTATGCCCACCATCATTGGGCTCAAAGTTTGAATTGAATTGTTTACCAGAAAGGTAAAAATATTTATAAATAGAACTATAAACTTTTGAGTGTAGCCACAGGAAAACAGTACCTTTAGGTATTTGTGTGGGAGGCTTATTTAGTTAATCTTTCTTTGAAGAACTCCTACTAAAATGAGTAGACTGGCCTCAGTATGCAATGCCTCAGTTTTTATATTACAACTGGTAATTATTTTAATTAATCTAAAATTGCTATATCTGTGTTAACATACATCAATGTTGAACTGCCTTGGGTCCATGCATTTTTTTTATTTTTAATAATTATAAAACATCTATATGTGTTTTGCCAGCATCCATGTCTGTGTGTGCTTGATCCCAGGGAGGCCAGAAGAGGGCATCAGATTCCCTGGAACTGGAGTTATAGATAGTTATGAGCCACCATATAGGTGCTGGGTATTGAACCTAGGTCTTTTGGTAGCACAGCCAATGCTCTTAACCACTGAGATATCTGTCTGTCCTCCTTATAACAGTTTTTGTTTGTTTGTTCGTTTATTTGTTTTAAATATCTTCCTAAATCTCTTAGCCAGTTTTCAAAAATCTCAATGTTATGTTTTTCTCATGAAAGCATGATAAAAATAAAAATGGGTAAGGATTCCTTTACTTTTCAAAAACTGTTCTGTTTGGTATAAGTCATGCTGAGGAACCTGCACTCCAGTTTGTATATGGGACCATGTTTTCTCCTTATTACTCCAAGTCCCGGGATTACACCTGGAACAAGTTCTTGTGGTGGATGGTGAAAGATGAAGGTGCTTGGGCAGGAGCCCCACATGGTGGTACACATCTGTAATCCTAGCAGCGGAGAAAGGAGGATCTCCCCAAATTCAAAGCTATCCTGGTCTACACAGTGAGTTTCAGGCCATTCAGACCATACAAAGGACCCTGTCTCAAATGAGACCAGATTACACTTTTTCTTTCCAAGCTTCAGCAATGAATGATGCATACTAGCTCATTCCAGGGTCAAAACAACGTAAGCTTATGTAGCTAAAGTTGCATAAGGACTCATTCCCCACCCCCAAGCTTTTGTGTGTGTGTGTGTGTGTGTGTGTGTGTGTGTGTGTGTGTGTGTGTGTGTGTGTGTGTGTGTGTGTGTGTGTCTGTGTGTGTGCATCTTTTTGTGCATGTGAAGATCAGGGGATAACTTTCAGTTCACCTTTTTTGAGGCAGAGTCTTGTGCGTGTGAAGATCAGGGGATAACTTTCAGTTCACCTTTTTTGAGGCAGAGTCTCTCATTTGCACTGCTGCACTGCTAGGCTAGCTGGCCACAAACTTCCAAGTGATTTTCCTATCTCTATCTCTCATTTCATTATGGGAGTGATAAGATTACAAGTCCATGGCACTACATCTGGCTTTTTAAATGTGGTCTCTTGGGATCAAACATAAGTTGTGAGATTTATAGTGCCTTTACCCTATGAGCTATCTCCTCAGCCCAGGAATCTAAATAATTGTTAGATTATTTAAAGCTTTTGTATGTGAAGTTGTCTGTAGAAAAGTGACCATATATTCTTAAACAGGTATTTAATCTTCTAAAAACTAACCTTATCAAATACATGTTTTGACAACACCAAGATTTAAAACAAAACAAAACAGCATTTCGTAATTCTGTGTTGCTAATAAGTACTTTTGCATGGTGTTAGCTTTTGCAATATTTTCATTTTCTGCAAATTAGTTAGGTAATATAATCTACATTGAACACATAAGCTGATTGAAACAAAACTTTGTGTCCTAAAAAGTCATAGCTATTAAATGTGTTTCCAGCCCAGATTTCTAGTCCTCTATCTTTCCATTACCCTGTACCGGGTCTTATGTTCACACATACTGCTCTTTGCAAATGTATGTGAGTATTAGTAATATTTTTGTGCTATAAAGTCTTTCTACAAATTCTTCACCTTTCTACAGATTTACATGATAGTCCACTTTGTGTTTGATTGATGTAAAAGGGCAATAGAAGTGACCTTAATCAGTATTTTTGTTCATTATCATTCCAGGAATGGTACACTTTATTTTCTTTGTAACTTAGCAGAGACATGTCTTCAGCTCCATTGTGCTTTTTCAAAGAATTTCTGTAGCACACCAATAGTTTCCAATTAGCCATTGTATAGCTGTCTCAGACTTTGTTTGTAAGGTTCTACATGCCAATTTATTTAGGAAAAAAATTAGAAGGACATTCTCTTGTAAACAGTGAATTTAAAAATCAGTGCATCTACTAAATGTAACTAGAATAACAGTATTACCATACCTTCTTAAAATGTCCTTAGCAGAAAAGTGTTTCTGTGTTCTACAAACTTTTTAATATATTAGAACTGTTGGGTTGTAAGAATTAGAATTTAGGGGAAAAATGAAAGTAATGTATGTTTTAAATTTTTATTGTCACCATTTCATACATGTTTATAATGTACTTTGGGTATATTTCTGCTTTCCACATTATTCTCACTTAACCTCCCCTGCACCAAGCCCCTCTGCCCAACTCTCTTAAGTTTTTCATGCCCCTCTGCATTTAATTAGAGTTGCTTGCATGGGTTTGGGTTATTTACTTGAGCAAAGACAACTTACCAGTGACTATACTACTGCAAACAGGACTTCTCTTCTGTTAGCGTCTGCTAACTGCCTTTAATGCCTCATGGGAGGATGGGGCCTAATGAGCCCCTTGACATTTATGATGAAATGGGATAGGCCCAGGCTTCTGCAGGTAACTACTACCTCTGTAAGTCTGTAGTGCAATAGCTCTGTCATGTCCACAATGTAATAATACTTCATGCTCCAACTCTTAAATTCTGCTCCTTCCAAGATCTTTTCTGAGTCTCTGGGAGGAGGGAATGTGATATAGATTTCCTATAGGGCTGAGCACTTAGTAATCATTTGTTCTCAGCACTTTTTGGCAAATTATGAGTCTCTGAATTAACTGTCACCACTGTAAACAGGAATTTCTCTGCCAAGGCTGAGAGCAGCACTAATCTATGGGGATAGTACATCGTTTTCTTTCAATCTCGTAACCAAAGTTTTGGAAGTGAGAAAGTATGGCCTTATTTTTTATCTATAAATGGACTGTTCTTTGTTTTTGTAGGCATAATTCCATTTTCTCAAATCTGTGTGTTCTTGACTCCTGTGGTCTTTTCTTCCATTTCTCTGTGTTATATTTTCTTTCAGATTGTGCAAAATTTATTCCTTTCTTCCTCATGTCCTTTTAGTCTGACTGTCATAATGAAAATAAAAAAGAAATTAATAAATAGTGATGATTGGATCTTTGAAGTGATTAGATAATACCTAAAATTCTACTGTTGGAAAAATACTAAGCTATAACCAGCTCATTTTTTTCTTGGTATTTTCTCTCATGGCCTATTGTTTATTTTTCTAGATATCAAGAGGTTAATTTGAAAGTTAGACTTTCTCCCCTTACTTTTAGTAGTTAGGTTTTGTTTTTGTTTTTCATTTTTCCTTTTGCCATTGCTGTGGAAGATGGAGATTTTAATAAAGTTAGTATATTTAATGAATATTTTCCTTCTTTTAAAGACTGTGAACCAGAAGAGCTGACTGACTGGTCTATGGATGAAAAATGTTCATTTTGTAACCTACAGAGAGAAGCAGTCAGTGTAAGTTTTAGTGCCATGAAATTATTTTTAAAATAATCACACAATTGTAACACAGTTCTTTTTTTTTAACTTAATTTGTTCTGATAATTTGTGACTCAGTGAAAATATAAATACTTGATTTTGTTGAATGAAAATAATATGTCCAACATTGAGTTTGGCTTTGAAAATTCATTATTTTTTCTTTTCTTTCTTTACTTTTTTTTTGGTTCATTTTTTGTTTTGTTTTATTTTTTGTTTGGTTGGTTGGTTTTGGTTTTGGTTTGGTTTGGCATTCCTCCTTCAAATTTATTTCTTATTACTCCCTGACTCATAAACTTCATTTTAGATCAGGTTGGCATTTTAGGTATCCAAGGGTGAACTTGGAGACCTAGTTTATTTAAGACCACTGTACAATTTGGTTTCTTAGCAGTTGGTAGTAAGGGGATAATATGCTACTATTTGTTACCCTTTCACAACTTTTAGAGTCTTTGACTATCAGAAATATATCCTGTGTTGATGATGAAATATGTACCTACTATTTAGAGGACATAGATGTGTGAAACCAGCATCTTCTTCTGTGGTGATCCTGATTCCTTATCTATTGTGATGAGAAGAGCAGAGAAGAATTTGAGAGTCTTTTAAGCTCATCTATTTTGTTAAATGTCTGGCAGGATTACTTTACTGGCATGCAATAATAAAATTTTCAGTAATGCCTGCCCACCCTCACGTCCAAGTACACACATATTTTATCATAGTTTTGCTAAGGAATAAGGCTGTTTGGGCCACTGTTGGAAGTATATTTGTTTTTTTCTTCCTGGATTCTATCAGATTTTATATTCTTTTGGTATAAGTTGATATTTTATAAAAAGGCAGAACAACTGAACATTGAGACAATTTTGACATATTTAGGTTTAAATGAAAAGTAATTAGGTATGTTACTTTCTTATAATTTTAGGATTGTATACCATCTCTTGATTCTTCACAGTCAACGCCAACAGAGGAGCTATCATCTCAGGGCCAGTCCCACACTGATAAGATTGAATGCCAAGCAGAAAATTACCTAAATGCACTCTTTCGAAAGAAAGGTAATACTGGCATGCTTTGTCATTTAAATTTTGCAATGTTTGAATTTTTTTCATGGAAGACTTTTTTTTTTTAATGTCAGTCCCTACTTTATTCTTAACTGTGTCTTTCTTTGTTCTTATAGGGGCAATAAGATTATCAGTCTCTTGTGCTAGCCATTTGTCTTCAACATCCTATTCTCAAATTTCTCTTTCATAGGCACCTTTCAAGATATTTTTTGTGCTTCTTACTTTCATTATTTTATCACTATTTTCAAGTCTTAAAAAATCGTTGGATGATGCAGTTATTGATACGTTATATTGCAGGCCTACCCCTAATAATATATCTCTTACATCATTTGCCAGCTGGCATACTGCTTTAGTGTCAGCTTGAGTATTCATGCTTGACATTAAAAAGTCTGTTCTGAATTTGTCTGTCTGGTGTATTTCAACCAAATGGGTCTTGTTTCACTTATTCCCATACTTGACAGATACAGGTAAAGGCAGTTTTTATATTTAAACTATTTGGGAAAAGAATAAGGTATTCCATGTTTTATACCTAACCATTCCCATGGTCGCAGGTTGTATTTCTTCAATCCCCATGTGAATGTTTGGAGAAAGGAACGTTTGGATTTGTGAGGGATGGGGTTACCATTATCTTCTTCTTCTAGAGATTGAGTAAACCCTGCTTGTATTCTTCTTACCTTGGTACTGGTTCTGTTTTACTTCTCTTTAAAGTTAGGTTCCAGCATATATTTTTTGCTAAGTTGATAACTTCATATTTAAAATATTAAGCAGTAATATTAAAAGTACTGTTCACCTTTGAGTCTTTTATTTAGTTGCTCACTCTTCGACGTTCTTTGGGTTTAACTATGAGATTCTTGTTTAAAAAAAAATCACCATATAATTAAAAGGCCTAAAGAGAACTAAATTTTAAAAACACTGAAATAACAACAACAAAAAACATTCCTTGTGTGTTACTGAAATAGTGTTGGAGAATTTGCCTTATCTTAAAAAGTATATTTTTTCACAGTTTTTAGTGGGAGCCAGTGTTAAAGTATGTGACTCATTTACTTTAAAAATTGCAAAATACTAATTTAGAAAAACTGTTCTGTCAATGTGTTTATTATACCTAGTTGTCACATTTATATCTCTAAGAATTAAAGTTAACACAAATAGAGTATAGTTTAGTTCACACTGGAATTCATTATTCCTTATTCTTCCTTTGAGTCATTTATAATGGTAATAAATACAGTTGTCAATATTAATAACTTTCAGTTCGTTATAGTATGGAGTTAGCACCATGCTCCATTACCTTGTTAAGAGTAATCAGTGAAAACTTGGTACTATTTCAGCTGATTCAAGCATCTGGGTCTCCAAGAGGTCTCCTACCAATAGTTGGGTGAGTGTTATTGGGTATTTAGTGACCTCTCCATTTGGGAATTTCTTGTTTTCTTCATGATCATTTGAAAGTTTACAGAGAACTTAAATGAAAGATTTTATTAGTATAGTACTTTTGCCTTATTTCAGTTCTTTGATAATTTATTTCTAGCACATCACCATTTTTTGGATTTACCTAGGGTTTTGTTATTGTAGTTTGACAATTTTACTTCTGTAGAACCATTTTAGAGATTTCTAGTCTGGTTTGACCAGAATGAGGACAGAAAAGAATACCTTTTAATGGAATTGACTCTATTAACTAATTGGTTTTTTTTTTAAAAAAAAATGTAACTAGCTATACTTTGAGATAACTGCTAATAAATAATTTTAAAGAAAGGAAATATATGATTCTTTGGAGTAGCAGTTTAGATGTTGATGAAGCTTTTGTTTTCTGAAACATTCCTTAATTTTATCATTTTTAGATATTCTGGATATTGATAGCAGTAATATTTATACTTTGCTACTTAATTTGAGCAATAGGTTTATACTGATCATATTGTCAAAATGTAAAGTAAAAATCATATTCTATTCTAACTTACTGTATATTCTAATTTAGAGTTTTGAGGATTGTGTAAATATAAATATAAACTAGTATTTGGATTAATAATGTCATCAATTATGACTGAACATTTAAAGCCTATGTAGGTCACTCTTCTCATTTCAATGACAGAACAACTTCAGAGGGAAAGTTTATTTTGACTCACTATTTTGGAAGATTTCAGTCATTTATGGTGGAGAAGGCATGAAGGCTTAGTTTAACTCTAGTTTTCAGAGTTCTGGGTAGGAATATGAGGCACAGCTCCTTGTACAGCAGCCAGGCAAAGAAGCAAAAGTTGGGCGATAAGCCTTAAAGGCTTCTCCTTTGTCACCCATTTCCATCAGCCTGCTCCTACTTCTAAATTTCCCACAGCTTCCCTCAACAGTGTCACCAACTAGAGGCCACAAGTTGAAAGACTCAAGCCTAGAGAGTCACTTCTGTTTCAGATTACTGCAGTGCTCCACCTCCTCTGCTGCTTTTTTAAAAATTAATTTTTATTTAAATTAAAAACAATCATATTTTATATAGCAATCCCAGTTCCCTCTCCCTCCCTTCCTCCCACTCCTGCCACCATCTCCTCATCCTAACCCCAATCTACTCCTCAGAGAGTGAGGCCTCCCATGGGGGATCGTCAAAAATCTGTCATATCACTTGGCACAAGACTAAGCCCCCCCCACCCATCCAGGCTGAGAAAGTATCCCTCCATAGGGAATGGCTCCAAAAAGCACTAGGGATAAATGGTGGGTCCACTGCCAGCTGGCCCATAGACTGCCCAAGCCCCCCAGCTGACACCCACGTTCAGGGGCCTGGTTCAGTCTTATGCTGGTCTCCCAGCTGTCAGTCTGGAGTCTGTGAGCTCCCACTTCCTCAAGTCAGCTGTTTCTGTGGGTTTCCCTAGCATGGTCCTGACCCCTATGCTCATCACTCCTCCTCCTCTATAACTGGACTCCAGGAGTTCGCCTCAGTGCTTAGCTGTGAATCTCTGCTTCTACTTCCCTCAGCTGCTAGATGAAGGCTCTATGATGGCAATCTAGTCATCAATCTCATTATGAGGGAAGGGCATTTAAGGTAGCCTCTCCACTATTGCTTAAAGTCTTAGTTGGAGTCATCGTATGGATTCTTGGGAATTTCCCTAGTGCTAGGTTTCTCATTAAGCCCTAGCTAGAGCAATAAGACAACAAAAGGAGATCAAGGGGATATAAATTGGAGAGGAAGAAGTCAAACTTTTACTATTTGCAAATAGTTTACATAAGTGACCCAAAAATTCTGCCAGGGAACTTCTACACCTGATAAACACCTTCAGTAAAGTGGCAGGATTTGAGATTAACTCAAAAACAAAAAATCAGTAACACTCCTATATATAGATGATAAATGAGCTGAGAAAGAAATCAAAGAAACATCAATCACCCTTTACAATAACCACAAACAATGTAAAATGCTTTGGAGTAACTCTAACCAAACAAGTAAAAGACCTGTATGACAAGAACCTTAAGTCGTTAAAGACAGAAAGTATAGAAGATACGAGAAAATGGAAAGAAAGATCTCCCAGGCTCTTGGATCGGTAGGATCAACATAGTAAAAATGGCAATCTTACCAAAAGCAATCTACAAATTCAATGCAGTCCCCATCAAAATCCCAGCACAATTCTTCACAGACCTTGAAAGAAGAATACTTAACTTTATATGGAAAAACAAAAAAACCAGGATAGCCAAAACAACCTTGTACAATAAAAGAACTTCCAAGGCATGACAATCCCTGACTTCATGCTCTACTATAGAGCTGTAGTACTGAAAACAGCTTGGTACTGGCACAAAAACAGACAGGTGGACCAATGGAATCAAATTGAAAAGCCTGATGTTAATCCACACACCTACGAACACCTGATTTTTGACAAATAAGCTAAAATTATACAATGGAAAAAAGAAAGCATCTTCAACAAATGGTGCTGGCATAACTGGATGCTGACATGTACAAGATTTTAGATGGATCCATATCTATCACCATGCACAAAATTTAAATCCAAAAGAATCAAAGACTCAACATAAATCCAGCTACACTGAACCTCTTAGAAGAGGAAGTGGGGAGGTACCCTTAAATGCATTGGCACAGGAAACCAATTCCTGACCATAGCACCAGTAGCATAGACACTGAGATCGACAATTAATAAATGGGACCTCCTGGAACTGAGCAGCTTATGTAAGGCAAAGACAGTCAACAAGACAAAGCAGCAGCCTATAGAATGGGAAAAGATATTCACCAACCCCACAGCCAACAGAGGACTTATCACCAAAATATACAAAGAACTCAAGAAACTAGTCAACAAAACACCATATCTAAATAGAGAATTCTCAATAGAGGAGTCTAAAATGGCTGAAAGACACTTAAGAAAGTACTCAATATCCTTAGCCATCAGGGCAATGCAAATCAAAACAACTCTGAGATACCATCATACATCTATCAGAATTGCTAGAATCAAAAACATCAATGATAACTTATGCTGGAGAGAATGTGGAGAAAGAGGAACACTCCTCCATTGCTGGTGGGAATGCAAATTTATACAGCCACTTTGGAAATCAGTGTGGCAGTTTCTCAGGAAAATGGGAATCAATCTACCTCAAGACTCAGCAATTCCACTCTTAGGCATATACCCAAAGAATGCACATTCATACAACAAGGACATCTGTTCAACTATGTTCATAGCAGCATTGTTTGTAATATCCTGAACCTGGGAGCAACCTAGATGCCCCTCAATCAAAGACTGGAAAAAAAGAAAATGTGGTAATATGTTCAATGGAGTACTACTCTGCTTCTAAAACAATGTTAAAAGAGAGGTTCTGTTACTGTCATGCTAATTAGCAGAGACCATGGTGCTCAAAGTTACATAGCACTTCTCAGTTCAGGGTTTTAAACATAAGGTAAAATGGCTATTCATTTCAGAAATCTCAACATTTCAAGAAGAAATGAATGAAATGAAAGATATTCTATGTCATGAACACATCAATTTTAAAAAAGATAAAACTATATTACTTGTTATTGCATAGCATTA